TGTGTTTGCTGTGCTCCCGGGAGGGGTAGATTAGAAATAGGAAACCGCAGGGACAAGACTGAAATCGGGGCCTAGACACTTGGTTGTGGACAGTTCCATTGTGGGTAAGGGCCAAGTGTACTCTGTGTGAGGAGGAGGTGATCACTGCCGCTTCTTACTTAGAAGGATCCGCAGCGAGATGGCTGAATGGGCACATAGTGAACAAAGGATTTGCCAGACGAATGAACGACTGGGCCCAGACCCAAACTTTAGAAATCTTTATGGACTTGGTAGAGGCGCGGTGGCACAACCCTTAGTGCCTTGCTAGGCTCAGTAAGCCACTGATGCCTTGGCCCGTCTTGATACTAAGAGACGTACAAGATCGTGTGTGACCTCACCGGTGCCGTAGAGAAACTGGTGGTAGTTTCGGAAGTTCGCTACGATCCCCAAGTCCTCCTAACCATGTTCTTCAAATGTCTTCCCACATATATCAAGGATTTGATGGTTAGTGAGGCCAGTATCAAATATGACACCCTTGAGACATTTAGCAACAAGGCCTTAGACTTAGAGGTAAAGTCGGGAGGGGCTCGACAAATAGCTTTGTAGACGGGAGGAAGAAGAAGGTTCCACAAGAGTGGAAGAAGAAAGGTAGTCGACTGATGATGGTTGATTTTGATGGGAATCAAACCGAGATCGATGACCTCTCCGATCTTGTGGAAGAGACAGAGTTAGGCAGCGAAGATAGTGCGGAGGGTAGCCCTCACTGCAATAACCAAAGGAAAGGTTGCTGGCCGCGGCAAGAGCGGCCAGCAAAAGAGTTAGGGGCAGGTTCAAAACTCAAATAACACTTCGGTGTGGGTGAGGGTTGGCCTGGATCAAGATGTGTGGAGGGACCGTTATTTGTGAGGAGCTTGCATCAGTTGCAATGGCCATCAGCAGTTTAGGTGCAAGAACGCAAAGGTCTCTCAGAAGATTCCTCCCAAAGGTGGTTCTGGGGGATCTGCTGCCTAGGGTGGTGCTTCTACGAGCACAACCGAGGGAAACACATCTGGCCATGCTGAAGTGGTTGGTGTATGTTTACAACTTCAGGAGTTGGCCGAAGCTATTGACTCGCTAGTCACCAAACAATTTTGTATTCGTTAGATGTGTCCGAAGCCTTAGAAGACTTAGAAACTGATTGGTCGGCAGAGACCCTCGTGAGTCTTGGGTGGCACTTTCAAGAGGTCCTAGAGGGGAGCATTTCGTTGTGGAAGTTGGTGTAGGTGGCCGCAAGTGTGGTGCTTTTGTAGACATCGACTCCACACGAAACTTCGTAAGTCGCGATTGCGTTGAGAGACTATGCCTAGGGGATCGGGTGCAGCGCTTGAGTAAACTTGTAGCATCTAGCCAACAAAGAGCGCATGATGGTTAAGGACTACGTCAAGGACGTGGTCTGCACCTTATCTTATGGAGGTGGGAAACTTGATCACCAGATTTCGTTCCTAGTTAGTGATGACTTACCATTTGACATATTGTTAGGATTGGGGCCGGAAAGTGCTAAAGCATGTGTTGCCTGATTGGAGGACCGTAAGACTAGCTGAGTATAGAGCTAGCAGGTTAGTTGACCCCTACGGGTGCATGTGTGCATTTGCGTTTTACAATTATTATAAACAAAACCAAAAGGGGGGCGTGTTCTTAATATTTGTTTCTGAGAAAGGGGAGGCCGTTAAGTCATAGAGATCATCCCAGGTAGCAAGACACCGAGGCGGAGAATCGATAGGATGGCTCCATCTGAGTTGGACGAACTCCGTCGGCAATTGAAAGAGCTCACAGAGAAGGGTTGGATTCGGCCTAGAACATCCCCCATCCCCCTTCGGCGCACCAGTTCTTTTCGTCCCGAAGAAGAGGGGATCATTAAGGATGTGCATTGATTATAGAGGCTTGAATGCCATCACCGTTAAGAATTCAAAGCCTCTACCCCGTATCGATGACCTACTGGATAGAGTGGAGGGATGTAAGTACTTCACCAAGATAGATCTCAAGTTTGACAACCATCAAATTGCCATCAGACCGGAGGACCAACACAAAACCACATTTCATACCAGGTACGGTTTGTACGAGTTTGTGGTGATGCCTTTTGGCCGTTGCAATGCTCCTGGCACCTTTCAGCACGCTATGAATCAGATTTTTCATGACTACTTGGATAAGTTTACGTGTACCTCGACGATGTTCTCATCTTTAGTAAGATAGTGGAGGAGCATGCGCAACACTTAGATCTTGTGCGAAACCTCCTTAAACAGCACAAATATAAGATCAATCATGAGAAATGTGAGTTTGGACTCACAAAGATCTTGGGTCATAAAGTATTTACGGATGGGGTTAGGCCCAAAGATGCGAAGGTGGCTAGCATTCGTGACTGGCCACGACCTTAGCCTGTGACTGAGGTCAAATCATTCTTCGGGATGATCGGCTACTATCGCAATTTTGATACGAATTATAGTTTTGTGGCCTCCCCTTTGGCTGATCTAACACGCCTTGACATGCCATGGGAATGGAAAAACGAATGTGAGGTAGCCTTCGAATGTTTCAAATATGCGCTCATGCATCATGAGATTCTCATGCTTCCAAATCCTAAAAAGCCATTCGTGTGACAATTGACGCAAGCCAATATGGCATTGGCGCAGTTCTGGCTCAGCAGGAAGGGAATAAGTTGAGGCCGGTCGAATTCATGAGCAAAAATATGCCATCTAAGAAGTTGGCGAAGTCTAACTATGAGAGGGAACTCTACGCCCTTTACAAGGCTCTTGTCCATTGGAGGCACTATCTGTTGGGAAGGTTCTTCTACTTGAGAACTGACCGTGAGACCCTTAAGTGGATTAAGATGCAGCCTGTTCTCTTTGATGCACTCAAACGCTGGATTGAGGTCATAGACAAGTACGACTTCAAGCTAGGTTTTGTGAAGGGAGGGTACAACAAGGTTGCTGATGCGCTTTCGTGCGGGGCAGACTACCTAGGTGCACTAATTACTGAGTTTGGCCTATCTGATGAAGTAACTCGATCGTTGGTGGATGCCTACAAGGAAGACCCAATCATGATGGACATCATACACAGGCTAAAGGTCAAAGATAAGGCCACATCTGACGAGTTTGTGTTGGTGGATGGGTTACTCTTCCTTGAAAAAGCAGGGTTTAAAAGATTGTGTGTGCCACAACACCACCGGCGTCAGTTCGAACGGGCTGCATTTGGGGTGGAAGCCTAGATCTGCACTGGACTTCCTTCTTCCTGGAAATGGACCAGCTGCAACTCCTGGAACCATAGAGTTTGGTGTACAGTATGATAAATTGTTGCAGCAGGCTGTAGAGCACATCAGAAAATCTCAGGAGGCCATGATTGCCTCTGAAAACAAACACAGGTGACAGTCCACATTTCATGTAGGGGAACATGTCTCGGTAAAGGCTAGCGAATTGGGACAGTTATTGAGAATCTCTAGGAAACTGATGGCACAGTATTTTGGCTCTTGGGAAGTCCTACATATTGTGGGTAGTGATTTGGATGGGCCCTCTTACGTCATAAGAATCCCTGGTGGATGGCCATGTGGATGTCGACGATATCGTGGAACATATAGACTTGCTTGTACCCAAGCCTGTAGGCAGGGGAAGACCGCCAAAACCTATGAGGGAGTACTGGGTCAGATTCAGGCATCATACGGATCCCAAGGAAGGACGTTGGTTCACAAAAGAGGAGCTTGTCCGAACAACACCTCAAATCGCTGCCGAGTGTGAACGAAAGTCGAAGGGGAAAGCACCTGCGTAGAAGCATCTCAGCGGACTTTCGAAGCTAAGGGAGATGAAATGCGAGGAATGGGCCCTCGCTAGGCCCTTCTCGGGCATGCAAATGTTCTGGGGTGTGGCCCCGAGCAAGCTTTGTGCCTGCCCTAAGTGCAGTCTGGCCAGCTGCGACGTACAGTTGAGCCCAGGGTTCAGGAAGTTGCGCCTGGGCACACGTGATGGGAGGTCGACACATCACGCAGTGGCCTCGAGCCATAGAGAATGCAGCATTGCCGTCACACGTCTACTGCGAGCGAATGAGAATGCGGCAAACACTTGGAGCCTGGAGGGCTGCCTGGACGTGCCCAACTGTAAAGGGTCCAGGCCCGTAGCAGCAAAGGTGGGCCTGGCGCAGACACTGGTGCCTGACTGGAAGCTACTGGAAACTTGCCCAGCCAGGCCCACGCAGCCAGACAGGGCTGCACTTTCCATGAAGGAAAGTGCCCTGCCCAGGCAAGGTGATTCTGGACTAGGCAGGCATCGTGGCCATGCTGCTGCATTGCCAAGCGCTGCTGTGATAGCGCTAGCCGGCCAGGGCGCACACGGGCGCAGAGAGGTGAGAGGGCGCTGTGGTGGAAGGTGATGGCGATGGTGATCTTCGGGTAGGAGGCGCATGCAGAGCGGTGTGATGAGGGGAGGAGAGAAACGTACCTGGTGTGCGCTGGCGGTCTGCATTGGTGTTGACGTCACGTGCATTGATCTTTAACGTCGAAGTGATCCTGTTGCATGGACGTATGCTGGGCGCTGGGTGCTGGGTGCCAGACAGTAGGAGCGACATTCGATGCTGTGTTGGTGTGGCCAGAGAGCGTCGGCATTGACATTCGAGTTCATTGTATTGCTTTTATTTGGATGGTATGTTGGTGCATTGTGCTCCCTGCTTGGTACATGACTATTCGGACTTGATTTTGCAATTTGGATTTCTGTCTATCGCTGTCGCTCATATTCCTTGCATATTGGTTTATGAGGTGAACCCAGTTTTGAAAGTTCACCACAAGTCTTGGGTACTTTGGTCGTTGCGTGTGGTCGTGCGTTCGGTTTTTGATTGGTAATATGTTCTTCGGTGTTTGGTGTTGTCTGCCAGGTTGGGCTTTCGCTGACTCGCTGGTGCATCGTCTAGCGCCACTTTGGGTTGGGGCCAGAGGCTTAGAATTCACATGGGATCATCTGCTGCAGGGTGTGGAGGCAAACGCAAATTTGGTACGCTCTCTCTCTCGGATAGCCCCTCTCCGTTGTATTTTGTGCGGCTGATTGAGTCTGTCTTTGATTGTTTGTTTGCAATGTATCTTTGATTGTTTGTTTGCAATGTGCCTTTGATTGTTTGTTTGCAGCGTGGTCTCTCGCGCCTAGGATGTCTTGATTGTTCCGCTGCCATCGTTTCTTGAGGATGTTACTGTCTTGCTGCTAGCGTTCGCTATTTGCATCAATCATCATCTGCACCGGTGTCATTTGTGGCCAATATCATTTGTGATGATATTACTTGGTGCTTGTTTGAATGTTTATTATTGATCTGGTAGGTGCGTTGTGCGCTTTCGTGGCAGCACAATTTGACCTAAAAATAATTTAAAAACTGACCTTTAGCAGTCTGCATATAAATAGTGCTGGTCATCCTTTTAGCCGAAACAGACGGCCATGACATTTTACGTTGACTGAATTCGTTGTTGTTGTTTTTTGCCCCTTTTTTTGGCAGATTCTGAGCTTGTCCCTTGCCAGCTTGGGATCCTTGATGTGGCTTCGTAAGAACAAGCCTGCCGCTTCGCTGCCGTTTCTCTACACTAGCTTGGTGATCGTTGCCTGCATGCCAGACATTACAAGGTATGTATGTTCATGGCGCACTCTTTCTCAATAAGCCAACCCGTATGTGGCGCTGCTGGTTATTCAATTCCTTCCCCCTCCTCCCCCTTCCCCCCCCCCCACACGTCCTTGTCGCTTAAACCACCACTCTACCCGACACCGAAAAGTGGCATTCCCGTCAGTTCGGACCGGGTCTTTTGTGGGGGGGGGGGGGGGGCGCCGACCAGCAGGCGCAGGCGGGTTGTTGCATAGTCATAAGTATGGCGCAGATTCCCAGAACCGACCAGATAATACAGAGTAAGTACAATTACAGCGGAAGACTTTGATACACATGGACTGACTCAAACCTGACTCAGACTGCAATCAATCTCTCACAAACATGCATTGGTGGTGTGAAAGCCCTGGCCTTGGACATGGAAGAAAAGGCCAGGGCCTACTCTCATACACAGATGAATGGAGGGGAGGAGAGACGAAGGGAGGAGGAGAGGGAAGATGACGTCAACTCAATGTTTCCAAAAATAGTATCTGGAAATGTCAGAAGTAGCGAAAATCTGAAATGTCGCGAATACAGAGTCTCACAGTGTCTCAGATATTGATCTCACAATGTCAAGATACATCTCCAGATGTAGATGAAATCAGATCCCAAAAGTAGTCCTCAACCTGCAGTCTCAATGTTGCTATCTCCAATATCATCAGAACTCGTAACCATCCTTCATACTCGTAGTAGTCCACTAGGAATAACCCAAGAGTTGACTTAGACTTAGAGGGTAGGAGGAGAGAGAGAGAGAGAGAAAGAGAGAGAGAGAGCGGAGGAGGAAGAAGAGGGAGGAAAGGCGAAGCCTTTCTCCCTGGTACCTGGTGATGCAGCTGTGGTGCTGCAGGGCTGGGCGCTGGGCCGCGGGCTGGGCCAGAGGGCTGGCGCTACTCCGCTGCCGCGCTAAATCGCGGCTGTGCTATTCCTCCTTGCTGCTGCGCCAATTCTCTCCGCTACTCTGCTCATGCTAACGCCGAAACGCAGCGCTAACCTGTAGACTAACCTCCCCACTGAGGCTGGTACCCAGCTGATATAGTGCTGGGCCGGCCTCAGTACTACTGGTGCCTTCGGGTCTGGACCGTTGATCAGCCCCAATGGTTCAGATCCGATTCCGGAATCTGAAATGAAGTGGCGCCTAAACTGCACCGCTGGCCGGTCCTACCGATGGAACGGTACCTGGCCTAACCCAACTAGCCGTTAGGTCTGGTGGGGTCTAAACTGGCCTACCGGACTCTAATCTGAACCGACGGTTCCTAGGCCTACCTGGACCTGGCTGGGACCGTCGTGACGCGGTACCTAGGCCTAACCCGTGCCTACTACAGAACCGGGCCCTAACTGGTGCCAGTGTGGTATCAGTATGCCACACGGGTCCACTCCTGCAATTTTCACACACCAATTTTTTGCGCTCAGAAAAAATGAGAAAAAAATTGGAAAAGTTGAGATCCTGTAGATTAGGCGGTGATCTTCCGAAAAATATCAGAAAAATGAAAAAAAAAAAAATCATGTAGCCCATGAAATAAATGCCGCCAATTCATCACATTTCCATTTTTGCCACTCTACAACTTGTGGGCCAACGGAAAAAGTACCCCAATTTCAGCAATTTTTCACGCTCAGAAGATGTAAAAAAATCTGAAAATTGGAGGGTCCAGGAAGAATATGTAACGAACCCAGTCTGTAAGATACTTGCCAGATGTCGAAATACAAAGTAACTCAACTCTGAACAATTTCCCCAATAATCATGAATGTGATCTCTGATACAATGTCTCGTTTCCAGTATACGAAGAGAGTGGAGCGGGAATAGACAGATTAGAAGGTGGAAGAGATAGTAATCATCAATGACCACACAGAGAGTAGCCCAACATTTCCCACTCCCTCGGGCTTCCCTCACCCAAGGTGGCCCAGATTGACTCACAGCCGAGGGCCTGGATTGCGTACAGTTGCAGACTGTCACTTGGTTCTGATGCTGTCTTGGTACCTGCATACAAACAAGTGTGTGTGTCTGACCGGCGGCCTGGGCTGGGTACATACGGCTTTGACTCTTGGCCCGCTGGGCAGTTGACCAAAGTCAACTGTCAGGTGCACAGGCCGTGGGTCAACAAGGGAATTTCTCCCCTGGCCTTTGTGGCCTCTGACCGGGGTTGCGGCCTGCGTGTGGCCTGAGGGCCACTTCAGGGCATATTAGGCGGGGTATTGCAAACATTTTAAAAATTTTAAAATTTTGTTTCAACCACGAAATAGGTCGTGGTGTCAATTCATCGCATTTTCCATTGTCGCCGCTGTGCCAGTTCTCCACACTACGCTACCGGTAGCCTCATGAACCTGTGCTACCGGTCCCCCAACTTTCCAACTCGGGTAGAGTGGTGGTTTAAGGAAAGTAATGCATTTCTTTTGTTGCTTTTGCTTTTGGTTTCGTTTTGCTCTGCTGTGTTGTGCTGTTCTTTTGCTTTCCCTTTTCTTTGATCTGTGTTGACAAACAGACCCAAGTTCGAATCCTGATGGAATCAGATCCCTACACTTATTAAAATCGCTAATGTGAGAATTTTGGCATCCGGGCCGTCTGCGGAAAGACCGGCCTGACGGCCCGGATTGCCCAGCGATCTTAAGATTTTAAGATCGCGTGGCGATCCAGGCCGTTCAAGGTTCTACCGGCCCGACGGCCCGGATTGCACCACGATCTTAAACTTCACGATTGCGGGGCAATCGGGGCCGTTGGCCCGGTGCCAGTTGGCCAACGGCCCAGATTAGAAGTTTGCAGCCCAACCGACGTTGGGGCTGCCAGGCGTGGGGTGAAACCGGTTCCAGGCGGGACGGTCTTTTCTTGGGCTCAGCGGCTCGGTCCCCGTGCATATCTTTGGCGGCTCACAGCACGCACTCCCAGGAACGCCCGCCTGTCCAGTCAAACAAGCACATGCACAAGCACATGCACGCACAGCATGCACTCCCACGAACGCCCACCCATCCAGTCGAACAAGCACATGCACGCACACACACACAAGCACGAACACACACATGCATGCAAATGCATCATGGGCAGACTGTCGGGGTTCAACCTCCTGAAGAGTTGGTGAAACAGTCTGGCACAGTCAAGCTTTTTTCGTGGGGCTCACACGAACTGTGGGTGGGTGGGTGCGTGCGCGAGAGAGAGAGGGGGGGGGAGGGAGAGAGAGAGAGAGAGAGAGAGAGAGAGAGAGAGAGAGAGAGAGAGCCCAAGCACCCTACCACGACGACGCCGATGAAGATGAAAGATAAGGAGTGAGGAGCACTATTTGCAAGGCCAAGGTGAGATGATAATGGCGTGGGGAAAGGGGGCCGGAACAGGCTATGGTGGTTCTGTTTTTCTTTCCTACTCACTCTGATCGCGAAAGGGAGACGAAGTGACATGAAGAGGAGGACGAGGCTATGGTAGATTTGTTTTTCTTTCCTATTCACTTTGATCGTGAAAGGCAGACGAAGCTACATGAAGGGGAGGACGAGGAAGAGGAAGAGGGAACACGAGGAGGAGAAAAAGGAAGCCGAGGGAGGAAGCGTAGGGAGGCAGAAAGAGACGGGGCTGGAGGACGAGACGGGGAAGGAGGAGGACAAAGGGGAAGTACGAGAAGAGGGGAAAGTACAGAGGAGGGAAAGGGGGGAAGCTGGGCGTAAGTCGCCGAAAGGGGGTTGGAGGTTTAAGGTGCGAAATCGCGCACGTGGTTAGGATACGAGGCGCAAAATCGTGCTGTC